AACCACTAAATGAGTATGAAAGTCCCACCTCTTTTTCCTTGGGTGAACAACTCTAACGCTTAGTGTAAACCCCTGAGCTCACCCATAGGATCAGGCTGAAGCCACTTCTGTGGGACTTGGAGATCATACTTTTCTTGGCTTCCTCCCTTTCTTGATCTTTTTACTTTAGTTTTTCTGAAGCACTTAATCACTCGCACACATAGTTTCATCTCGGGATCTGTTGGGGGGGAATCCTTAAGAGACATGGCAAAAACCACTGGGTTGCAGGAGCATCTGTTTAAACTAAGTTTTAAATCCTGCAGCATTAACCCATCTAATGGGGACATGTAAAAGAATGAAGGACATTGGTCCACTCAGGTCCATGAAAGATGTGGGCCCTAAACAAATTACTGGATTGAGTGTGGACTGAAAAAGGCAGGGGTAAAAATCTGAAATTATAGTAAAATTTCAGATTTGGCTATTGTGCAAAATTATCCATAGTTTAAAAAACATTGATGCTCAGGTTGTATCCCTAAGGATTCTAACTTCATTGGTCTGGGTATAGTAGGGACACTGGCACATTTAAATTTCCCCAAGTGATTCTATTGTAGAGCCAAGACTGGGAATCACTTTAAAGAACCACATTTAGAGAATATAAAAATTACTCTGGTCGGCCTGCTAAAAATTCATATTCCCAGGCCCCCACATTAGGTACTCTGATTCAAGTAGGTCTGCATGTGTACAAAATATTTATGGAAAATTTTATAACAATAAAATGAGGACAATATAATTAATTCCCACAAATTATTTATCTTCAACAATTAAATTGTGGTTGAGAGTTTTTAATGGTCCATGAGCCATATGCTAAGAAAAATTGCAAAAATGCTCATAAATCTTTTCAGATTTATTACCTGCTACCAGGGGAACAGTCTACTGGGAACATCTGGCTTGAGCAGGGATGGCAAATCAGATTCAAACTGCATACCATCTTTTATTGATGGATAGAGGCTCTCAGGAGTGTTAAGAAGGATTCTGAGTCTGGGTCCAGTAAGCAAAAATGCTATGATGAGTCTCTGACCTTAGCTAGCTATTGTGACAATGTATTAGAAGTGGTTAATAAGGCTTTGTGTTGGGAAGGATGAGGGCTCTAATGCAGATAGTCCAATGAAAGTGTACAGGTAGAAAACTATTCCTATTGTCTATAAAATGAATGTTAAGAATGATCTAATATACTCTGGAGGAAAGTAAAAAGGATTCTGTGTAAGACCTTAAGGCTTTCCAGGGCAAGCATAACCCCCATTGTACTTCTGTCGCAGAAAATGCTCAGAGTGAGGTGTTATTACCTTCTATAGTCCTGGGACAAAAATACAAGGTTGCATTAACATAATTAATGTCTAGAATGGAATTATATCTGTTTATAGTTTGAAACTATTTCTTAAAAACATCTCTCCTACACAAGATTTTATAGGTGATCAGCAATTAGTTAATATTCATGCTTTAAAAAAAAATCACAAAGTCGGGGGAAAAAAGAAAGAAACAAAAAGTCAGCCTAGATCATACTTCAGTACTATTTCCTCTCAAGAAAATATTACCCTGGAAGAAACTACCAAATTAGACCTCATGCATCAGCACAAGAGCAGAGAAGAAAGTTAGACAGTTATGTGAAATTTTTGGCTTTGCCACTTTCTGGCTTTCTGACTCTGGGCAAGTTTCATGACTATGTGTATTTCAGTTTTTCTTTTCTTTTTTTTTTTTTAACTTGTAATAAGGTTAATAATAGGATTTACCTCAGGACTATGATGAGGATTAAATAAGGTATGCATGTTAGGGGCTTAGAGTAGTGCTTAAAAAGATATATTCAACAAATACTACAAAATTATTAGTATGTACATATTATTTAGTGATAATAAATGCTCTTGGGTTTTCTCCTACCTTCTGGATCAACTATTCTTATTTTCTTTCCTCGTTCATTCTCCTAAGTTGGTCCTTCGAACGCTGAAAGTTTCTTGGGGATCCGCTGTGGACTCTCTGTCCTCCCCTCCCCTGCCTTTCTCTTCCTTTCCTTTTCCTCCCCCATTTCCCTCCCTTGTCTTCCTTGCAAACTGTGACACTGACTTGCTGTGAAGCTATGTTTCGCCCACTTTAGATTCTTTAATCCCCACTCAAAACATTTAAAAATGAGTTTAAATACAATGTTTTAAAAATAGAAGGGCTTACATTCTTTTTCCCAGGGAGATAGTTTCTCACAAAAGCAGCATTATACTGTAACAGCTCTGGAGTCAGAAAGACCTGGGTTTGAGGTTCAGCCACGCACGAAGCAATGTGTTCTCGGGCCATTCCCTTTTTTTTTTTTTTTTTGAGACAGAGCCTCAAGCTGTCCCCCTGGGTAGAGTGCCGTGGCATTACAGCTCACAGCAACCTCCAACTCCTGGGCTCAAGCGAGTCTCCTGCCTCCGCCTCCCAAGTAGCTGGGACCACAGGCGCCCGCCACAACGCCCGGCTATTTTTTGGTTGCAGCTGTCATTGTTGTTTGGCGGGTCCGGGCTGGGGATTCAAACCCGCCACCTTAGGTGTACGTGGCTGGCGCCTTAGCCGGTTGAGCCATAGGCGCCGAGCCGGGCCATTCCCTTAATGTTTGTAAGCCTGCTTCCTTACCTACAAGATGGGGCAAGCATCAGTTCAAGGGCTAAATGAGATAATTAAGGAAAAATGTGGAGCACAGGATCAGGGCCACAGTAACAGGTAGCCATCACAATTGTTTCTCTTACTAGTGATGCTAAGAACCCACAAGAATCCAGCCATGGTTCCCATGTCTTTGCTCTTGAAGCAGCGAGCTTGTCTGCCATAGGAAGGCCTTAAACCTTCTTGTGTCTGGCCCGAAGTTCAGGATCTGACATTTCCAATTCCCAAGCTTCTCTAATCATGTTGATGCCTTTCAGTGAAGGGAATAAAATGGATTCTACAGATAAGTCCACCCAGAGGGACCAATGGCTCTTATTGACACACATTCTCCCCTATAATCTGTTATTGTGCCTCAGAACCTGAGAGTGGGGTGGCCCTTCTTATTTTTATGGCCAAAACATTTCTTTACTAGTTAATGGTGTCATTACAGATGAAAAAAGAGGAAAAATAAAATGAATCTAAGTTGCCTGGCCCCACAGAGAGTTAATCTCTCATTTCTCGGCCCACTTTCCCGACCAGGGCCTCTTTCATTTAGGTGGCTTTTCCAGGATGGCCCTGGCTGCCTAGCAACCACCATCTCCAGCCCTCCCCTGAACGACTGGCAGGAGTTGTTCAGATCAGTGCCATCATTCATTTTTTTCTAAAGAGTACCTTATTTTATGAAAAATTAAACCTCATAAAAATGTAGCTTCCCCATATGCCTTGTTTCCCCCAAATTGTTGACAGCTATGTCACACAGAAATTGAATTTGGAACTGCAAATTTTTGAACGGCTACAGACATAAATGCAAATGTCTTTTTAAAAAATCATACTATGTATATATTTATGTAAAACCAGATCTACTGCTGTGAGCACTCTCAGGTAATTTAACCACCAACCGTCCTCCATCCTTCCTTCATGAACAGGCATTATTTATTATTCCTGTGTTTTCCCTAAAAGTAAACATGTGATTGATTTATCTGCCATTTTGGAATGCTAATAATATTCTACATTGTTCTACAGAAAGAGCAGAAATCAATTCCATCTTATTTATATGTATAAAAATGTATGGCATGATTAAAATTAATCAGAACATGATGATTCATCGGGAAATCAATAAACTAAAAGGTCACTAATTTTTTCCAAATGATGTTTAGGTTGCTTTGCAATCCTTCTGGGTTAAATCTTCTCTATTAAATTATCTCTGGGTCTACACAGTTATTAAGTCGCACTCGGTGTAGTTAATTCCTATATTAATCTCTTTTTTTTTTTTTTTTGAGACGGAGCCTCAAGCTATCCCCCTGGGTAGAGTGCCATGGCATCACGCTCACAGCAACCTCCAACTCCTGGGCTCAAGCGAGTCTCCTGCCTCAGCCTCCCAAGTAGCTGGGACTACAGGCGCCCACCACAATGCCCCACCATTTTTTGGTTGCAGCCATCATTGTTGTTTGGCGGGCCGGGGCTGGGGATTCGAACCCGCCACCTTAGGTGTATGTGGCTGGTGCCTTAGCCGCTTGAGCCACAGGCACCGAGCGTAATCTCTTTATGGATTTTTGCTCTGGCTTTTTCTAATCATTTGAGTCTCACCTAAATAAGGAACTCAGGGTTCACTTGCTGTCTTTGGCCAGAAATTTGTTTTAGGGATGTGATGCAGGGAGCAAGGAGGAAATATGTACAATGACTAAAAACTCAGCCTAGGACTGGGCATAAGCCACTGGAGTTTTCTAAGCTGCAGTGTTTCTCTCTAAGAGATAGGGATAGTAGCAGATAGTACCTATGACATGCTCTGTGGAAGCATTTAACAGAGTAACTGGACACAACTCAAAGTCAATGAGACATAGATAGTCAATGGATAGAGTATGACCTGCATCTACACATTCAAAATCAGACAAACAGATGTCCCAGTATTTCATTTCCCCCTCCCTACAGCTCTCGGACCTCCCTCTCCCCCAGAACCCATTCTCCTGATCACCAAGCAAACAAACAACCCCTGAGTTCTTATCAAACATTCCACAAGTTTCTCTAAATGGGTGAAGTGTTATGAGAAGTGTTCAGGTATTAATATCATACTGATTTAAGAGATGAGGAAAATTCATTTTCAATGTTTAAGGGCAGGTGGTCTGGCGTGGAGGCAGTTGCAGGTAGCACAGTTTCTTCATCGCAGGCAAACATTCGCTGAGCACTCTCCTGTGCAGGGGTGGGAGCGGGAGGTGGTGTGAAGTTTTGGGGTGGTTGGGATGGGCAGTGGGGATGGAGCACAAAGATTTCAGGCCTGGATCCTGGAGAAGTGTGGAATCTTGCCAGGGAGGCAGTTGGTGTAGTTCCAATATTTTGCTTTCTCTTTACTGTCCAATAAACAGTACTTCATTTCCCCGGAGGGCTCTGGCTTCAGGATCGACAGCATCGGGACAATTTCCACAGCAGCGGCTTTTGATTTTGAGAGTGAAGCTAGAAGGTAAATACTGTTACTGGTTTATTCACTTGAAATGCTGATCCTTTGGTTCATATTTCACTTTTTTGGGACCATTTTCCCTCATCTAGTCCTGATGCAGTCCCCAAATGAAGATGCTTTTGGCATTGCATTAAAGATGAAATCACTGCTTCACCTATAGTGCCGCAGTGGCTGGTATAGGTGATTGACTTGGCCGTTGGGGTTTCTTTCTGGGTCACCTGCTCTCTTCAGAGTGAACCCCCCAAATTATTTCAGGGATGAGTTTGTGTCCTGCTGTGGAAACAAATGGGGACTCCACAGTGGATACCTGTGACATAGAATTCTTTCACGGTGACCAATGTGAATAAAAAGAGGCTAAAACCCACCCCCCCAAACCAGAATTCCTTCACAATATCAACATCATCTTTGGAGAGCAAATGCCCTGACATTTTCTCCTTATTTCCTTCACATCTGGTAAGTGGCTAGCTACTGGTTCACTATTTTTATTTTTATAATGATTATTATGACTATGACTTCCATGCGTGTGTTCTGTGTGCTGTGTGCTTCTTAGGAAAAGGGCTTAGACCTTTAAGTGAACCCAGTCGAATTGCTCCTGGATCTCTAAGAGATTCTTTTCTGTTATGGAGAAAGTTGAGGATGGGACATGCTGCATATCCTAAGGTTTATCCTAACTTATTGTTTTTCATCATAATAATAAATTGCACATGAACTTTATGGACACCCTGCATACCCTAAGTGTTAGTATCTTTAAAGTGAAGCTCCAGGACAGACTAGGTGCCCACACATCACATGCAATCACCTCTCAGTCAAATGGGTTCAGAATTAAGAAATGGGCTGGCTCAGCACCTGTGGCTCAAGTGGCTAAGGTGCCAGCCACATACACCTAAGGTGGCAGGTTCGAATCCCCAGCCTGGGCCTGCTAAACAACAATGATGGCTGCAACCAAAAAAAAAAATAGCCAGGAGTTGTGGTGGGTGCCTGTGGTCCCAGCAACTTGGGAGGCAGAGGCAGGAGACTCGCTTGAGCCCAGGAGTTGGAGGTTGCTGTGAGCTATGCCACGGCACTCTACCCAGGGGGATAGCTTGAGGCTCTGCCTCAAAAAAAAAAAAAAGAAAAAGAAAAAGAAATGGGCTGTGATTTCTTTTGCCACGTTCATAACTCAGCAGAAGAGTTTGCCTAAATTTGTATTATCTTCATATAATTTGTGTACAGAAATTGACAAAATCTTTATCCATTCCTCTTTAATCCTAAATTCTTCTACCCCATGTGAAACAATTCTTTGAATTATCTCATCTCATAAATAGCTCCCCGGGAATAATGAATAAAATTCCTTTCTTTTTGGCCTAGGAGACCTCATGGAAAAATGATTACATTCAAGGTATTTATAAATCTTAAGATAAATCTTAAGATTTGTTAACAGAGTTTAAGAAACTAACTTTTTCTTGGTAAATGAAAACTAAAACTTTCTTTTTTATCATTATCTTTTTTTTTTTTTTTTTGAGACAGAGCCTCAAGCTATCCCCCTGGGTAGAGTGCCATGGCATCACGCTCACAGCAACCTCCAACTCCTGGGCTCAAGCGAGTCTCCTGCCTCAGCCTCCCAAGCAGCTGGGACTACAGGTGCCCGCCACAACGCCTGGCCATTTTTTGGTTGCAGCCATCATTGTGAACCCGCCACCTTAGGTGTATGTGGCTGGTGCCTTAGCCGCTTGAGCCACAGGCGCCGAGCCTTTCTCATTATCTTTGAAATTAGAGGCGGCAATACTGGAACACCGAAGCTCTGTTTTCAGAATTTGAATAAATAATTCTTTGGCTAAAGCTTTGCAATGGATTCTGGTTAACATTCCACAGAGATCCAACAGTCCTTAATTTTCTTCTTAGCTCCAGAGCTTCCAAGGTCATGGAGCAGACCCGTGAGTGAGAATCAAAGTTTTGGAATCTTCACTGATTCTTATCAAGCTCCTTCATTCTAAGGAGCTAGGGGGTCATGAACTTACTTGTTCAAGTCCTGATGGGAGTGTCAGGATGGTTTGTTGCCGCTTTCCCTGCTGTTGATCAAGGGAATTGACAATTCAATTTCCCTTGGTCAACTCTCCGACTTTCAACCCAATGCAAGCTGAGCGCTGTAGTGCATTCTAGGAGTTAAGACTTCTCAGAACTATTTTTTAAGGTGATTGACTTGTTTTTGTCAAAAATATTCGTCTTCTTGTCAGAAAAGTTTATGAAATAAGAGAGAAATTGAGAACTGGTTCAATTTCTGGGACAAATAGAAGGAAAACATTTGGTGCATTTCAAGTTAAAATATATTTTATTTTTCTGGAGAGGTAACCAAATCTTCTGATTTTCCTGAAACTGAAGAGTTTTCTGGGATGAGAGGCTTACTGAAATTTGGACAGTCCTTCCCGGTCACCTACAATGACAGTTGATCTATGTGAACATTCAACTTTCTTTCTTTTCTTTTTTTTTTTTTTTAGAGACAATAGTCTCACTTTGTTGTCCTCGGTAGAGTGCCACACAGCAACCTCCAGCTCTTGGGCTTAGGCAATTCTCTTGCCTGAGCCCTTTGAGTAGCTGGGACTACAGGTGCCCACTACAACGCCCGGCTATTTTGTTGTTGTTGTTGTTGCAGTTTGGCTGGGGCCAGGTTCGAACCTGCCACCCTCTGTGTATGGGACCGGTGCCCAACCCACTGAGCCACAGGCGCTGTCCAATCTATGTGAACATTCAACTTTCAAAATTAGGATATGTTCAGTTTCCTCAACCACTCTTATTTCTCAAACCCATACACATCTCTGCCAAAATAAAAACCCATTAATCATCTAATGATTCTGATATTTCCCCATACTCATAAAGTTGTTTTGAAGGGTTCTTAACACTTTCCCCTTTGCATTTGTTAATTTTTGATATTGAATCACCAGTGTTTGAACAATAAGGAGCCATAGCCAAAAGCTTTGTTTGCTACGGAGAAATTCCCTTTGTCTTTTTATTACTTGGGAGGATTAACAGACCTATCTGAGTTCCTGCCTGTCTTCTATACTGATTTGAATAATTTGGTCCTTAACAATGTCTTAGCTATTTCCAAATGTTAAAATAAGTGATTGGATTGGCATTTTGACTAGATGAATAATTGTTTTAAGTGGTTAGTTAAGCCCAATAGATTCATTTCTGGAAATGCTTGTTAGTTACCATAAAGTCTTAGCTGTTTTTCTTGTGGCTGTACTTTCAGTTTTCTGCTGGTAATTAAAGTGGTTGATCCTGGAGGACTGTTTACTGCTGGAAACCTAAAGGTTTTTCTCATCAATGTGAACAATAAGGACCCTATTCTTACTTGCAGGTAAGGGAAGAAAACATAGTATTTTAATTTGACTAGAGGAAACTGAATTTGAAAATGTAGTCTCTGAAATTCATTATTGAACTTTTATTTTCCTGAGGAGCAAAATAAGCAAGTCTGATGTGAACAATCATTTGAAATGTAAGATTTCAAGAATTCTTAAATACCAAAAGCAAAATACTTTTTTTTTAAAGATTTCTTTTTAATGTATTGACAAGAAAGCCAATGATTTGGTTTTTCAGTTTTTGGCCAGGGCTGACTTTGAACCCGCCACCTCTGGTATATGGGGCCGGCACCCTGGCACCCTACTCCTTTGAGCCACAGGCACCACCCAAAGCAAAATAGTTTTAAAGCAGTGCTGTTCAACCTTTTTTATCTCATGGCACATTTAAACCTATAGTTAAACTTCTGGCTCACTTAAATTACGTTGATCAAAAAAAGTGGTTTAAGGCTCACTTAAATTACGCTGATCAAAAAACAGTGTTAATCATTCTTAGTAAAGTATTACAAGATGGAGAAGCAAGAATCCAATGTACCCAATACTAATATGAAGCCAGTAGACGATCCCACATAAGAGAAAAACTCAGATCAATTTGAGGCGGGGGGCAGATGAAAGAGGGAGAAGGCAGGAGGGAGGAGGATGGGGGATTACAGGTTATGGCACGCCTTTTGTGGGTGGGACACAATTCTAAGAGGACTTTACCTAACAAGTGCAAACAGTGTAAACTACTTCTTTGTATCCTCAATAGACCTGAAACAATAAGATTAAAGATAAAGGGTGGCACCTGTGGCCCAAGGAGTAGGGCACCGGCCCCCTATGCTGGAGGTGGCGGGTTCAAATCCAGCCCCAGCCAAAAACTGCAAAAAAAAAAAAAAAAAAAAAGATTAAAAATAAAATAGCATGCAAAAAGTATTTAAAAAGAATATACTTACTGTGTTTTGAACTTCTTTTGAACATAATTGAATTAATGGTCTTCAAAAATTTTCACAGCACACCTAAGATCCTCTCATGGCACAGGGGTTGAAAATCATTGTTTTAAAGTATCAAATGTATTGAAGTTGCAATAGGATAAAATGTTACAAATGCAGTATGTTTCTTAGTGTCCACTTGTGCCAGATTATCTCTCACTACTCTCAAGGGAGATTCTGGCCAATATCATTACTAGGGAGTTTATTGAGGGTCAGCAATTTCATAAAGTTGATTCTTATAGAAGGATAAAAGCATGGTGATTAAGCATGCAAGCTCTACAGCTAAGTAGGCATGCAGTCAAACCTTCTCTCAGCCATCTTGATTTTTACTTCTGAAAGATAGCCAATTTCTTAAAATCTTGGTCTGCATGTCTGCAAAATGGGGACAAAAATGGTACCTACATCCTAGGCCTGCTGTGAGGAGTAAAGGAGATAACACATGAAAAGCGTGTAGGAGGTAAGCACTCAATGAATGAGTTAGCTATTCATCTGATGGTGGTAATTTCCACTTGCATCATTGCTATTTCCAACTTTCTACTCTTTCACCACCATAAGCTGTAGAAAATAACACACAGGAAGCCAATGTCACTTTAATAATCTTTCCTTTTTAAACAAATTCATTCAGTATTGAAAGTGCAGCCTTGACTGTTACTTCCACTAACTCAAGTATGCATGATAAAGTCAATATCACATTGGATGAAGAAATTCCAATTGGGAAATCAATTGGAGTATGCCAGGCAACCGATGAAGATAACCTGGGCGATGTGACCTTTGAACTGGATCCTTGGAATGTTTACTTTCTAGTTGACAAAGGTAGGTTGAGGATTGTTCTCAGCAAATGATAGCTCTTAAAATATGCTGTTGCTATTATCTGTTTGTATTTATATCACCTTCACAGGCTGAGTTTCTCAAAGGTAGGTATGAGGTTGTCTTCATTTTCAGAACCTTGACATGTAGCACATAGCAGATACTTCCTAAATGTTTGTTGAATAACTCCCTGCAAGATCCAACGCTTTGTTCACTCAGGAGCTAATATGTTCTTTACTGCTACAAAGTGGCAGCCTTAGCTTTCTACTTTATATGCTTGTCTAGTTTATCTCCTCAGGCTTTACTCAATTCTTTTCTTTGCTTTAGTTCAAATTTAGGGGAGAGAGAACTGATTGAACTTTCCAGACTCAGTCATTCATTCCTCATCCAATCAGTTGTGGCTGAGGCTGAGGGAAGGTCCGACTATGTGGTATCTAAGGCTTCCTCTTGGGTAAAGAAGAAAGGTGTTCATGGTTAGCACATGTGCAGGCTTACGCCATTGAGCATCCCACTCAGATCCCCTCTGGCCTTAACATTTCAGTGCAGCAAGCCTGACTTTCAACTGGCAGCATATGTGTTTCTTTGCTTGTGGAATTATCTGGGTCTCCTATCTGCCCTCCCCACCCCCCACAGTAGGTTAGAAGTACTGGAGTAATATCACTCTCCCCCACCCCCCAGGGCTCTCAGCCAGCGAATGAAGGGAGTTGGTTCTAAATGCCCCCTCTTTGCCCTGACATGGGACAATTTTGAGTGCATGTTCTACACTGGCTTCCAGAGTTCCCCAGGGATATTAGGCTCTAGCTGCTCACAGTGCTAACTCACTTAATGACGTACTTTTTATCGGATGTTTCCTTTCTCTCCCTCACTTCCTCTGTGCCAAAGTGCCCTGGATCACCTCAAATAAACTACTCACAGCCAAATCCTCATCTCAGGTTCTGCTTCTGAAGGAGCCTCTTTTTTGAATTACAGCATGGTTCTAGTAGCAGGGCTCCTGCGTTCACATTTATCCTCCTCCAGGGGGCTCCACAGAGCAACTAGAATGGATTTTTTTTTTTTTTTTTTTAAGTCAAATTGACCAGGTCTGGTGACTCATGCCTGTAATCCTAGCACTCTGGGAGGCTGAGGCAGCTGGATTGCTTGAGCTCAGGAGTTGAAGACCACTCTGACCACTCTCACTTTGTGAGACCCTGTCTCTACTAAAAATAGAATTAAAAAAGCTAGCTGGGCATTGTGGTGTGTGCCTGTAGTCCCAGCCACTTAGGAGGCTGAGGAAAGGGGATTGCTGAAGCCTAAGAGTTTGAGGTTGCTGTGAGCTATGGTGCCACAGCACTCTACTAGGGCAAAAGAGTGAGACTCTGTCCAAATAAATAAATAGGTAAATATATAAATAAAAAGTCAAATTGGATCAGAGTCTGTCCTACGTAAAATCCTCTTGTGAGACTCCTTTGCCCTTGGGATGGATTCCAAATTTCTTACCATACCTTTCTCTGGCCCTTGTTTCTTTCTCCAACCTCACCCTGTTCCTTGGGTCCCTTGGTCCAATACACTGCAAGCAGACAACTAGACTGCATGGCTTAGGATCTCATGCCTCAGGTCCTGGTTTTTTAGGACCTCACCATTAGATGTTATTTTGATCACATCACAGTTTTAATTTTTTTTTTTTTTTTTTTTTTTGGAGACAGAGCCTCAAGCTGTCCCCCTGGGTAGAGTGCCGTGGCATTACAGCTCACAGCAACCTCCAACTCCTGGGCTCAAGCGAGTCTCCTGCCTCCGCCTCCCAAGTAGCTGGGACCACAGGCGCCCGCCACAACGCCTGGCTATTTTTTGGTTGCAGCCATCATTGTTGTTTGGCGGGTCCGGGCTGGGGATTCGAACCCGCCACCTTAGGTGTACGTGGCTGGTGCCTTAGCTGGTTGAGCTATAATCGCCGAGCCAGTTTTCATTTTTTGAGACAGGGTCTTACTATGTTGCCCTCAGTAGAGGGCTGTGGCGTCACGGACAGTTTTCATTTCTTAATAGTATTTCTATTTGGATTTTATTTGGTATTTTTGTTTTTCTGCACTTTGGTGTTTGTCCCCCAGCCCAGACAGTAAATTACGTAAACATAGAGCTTTCACTTAGCACAGCTCCTGGCACATAGTTGGCATTTAATAAATGCTTATGGAATGAATGGGTGGATGGAGATATGGGGGGAAGTATAGTGAGTCATGTCCTATGTTTTCATTTATGAGATTCTCTACTGGGAATGGTGTGTCATTCACCAGAATTTCGTAAACCTACATATGCGCCTTCTCTTCTAGAAAGTCATGTCTGTTCCCTAAGCCAGAAACAACTTTGTTTTTACTATGAGCTCACATAATACGACTGTATTTTGGTGATAAACAATTAAAAACCTGCATGCACTTTGAATCAGTTTTTTAATTCTAATGAATGAGGCATAATTTTCATTTTACCTTCCATTGCTACGTACCTGATGAAGTAAAATGACGGCCTGGGCCAGTTTGCAGCAAGTTGTGCTGTTTTGTTACAGAATGTGGGACTGTGGTTACTGCCACCCGTCTTGATGTGGAAAGAGCTGGGTTTGCAAGTGTTCAGTCCTTCTCCATTAAGGCCTGTGACAATGGGCAGCGGTGTGCAGCAATTCCAGTGACCATCTATGTCCGAGGCTTTAACGACAATGCACCTTTCTGTGATCAATATCTGATTAGGTGAGCTGAGACAGGAGGGCGGGGCACGAAGTCAGAGTGGGTATTGGGCAGAGGCATTGCCATGTTTACTGGCCCAGCTGAACATGTTGAACATTTGCTCATGTTGAGCAAATCAACTCAGCCTCCTGTTGAGCTTCGGAACTGACCTTTTGGGTCTATTCATCATGAAAGTTGGGTTTCTAGGATCCGAGAGTCAGAAAGTGGTAAGAACTTGAGGTTTGGGATAAAGACCTAGATGAGAATCCTGATTCTATCACTTTTCAGCTGTGTGAACTTTGGTAATTTACTGAATCTCATTGATCAGTTTTTCTTTTTGTATAAGTAAAAGTGGTACTTACCCTTTAGGGTGGTTGTGAAAGATAAATGGTGATTTATGTGACATTCTGAGCAAAGTACTAAGCATATGGTATGAGTTTTATAAACAATATTTATTACAGTTCCATAATCCATTATCTGAAACCCTTAGCACTGAATATATTTCAGGATAAAGATTTATTTTTTTCTGATTTTAGAAAGGTAATAGGATGTGTATATCAGCTATTAATGCAACTTTCCCAGAAGGAGATGAGTCAGGCCCCATATTCAAATTTGTAATGAATTCTCACACTAACTGGGAGAAATAAAGATCACAGTCCAGACAACATTTGTTGTGTCAAAAAATTCAGGTAAGGTCAGGTTTTGGTGCCAGATTAATTATGAGAACATTCCGAGTTTTAGAATTTTTGAATTTTGGAATTTGGATAAAGGCTGGTGGGTTTGCATCACCATTAATATGGCTGTTTTTATTATTTGGAGCTCAGTTTCTAAACCTCCTTCTCTGTCACTCTTCCAGGTCTTCTCCCTTCAATCCCCCAGTCACACATAGGACAGCTGCCCCATGTTTCCTAGGGTTTCTTTCTGAGTATCTAATGAGAAAAGAAGCCAGTCTTGCTAAGTATCAACCATATGATCTTGCTGGGGCCCCAATTAGCCTACCTTTCAGTTAAGATAATAAGTATAGCTACCTTATAGCATTGTTATGAGGATCAAACATAACCAGTGCCTGGAATTTATTTAGCCCAAAGAAAATGTTATCCTTTCTTCTTTTCTTCTCCCTTTTTCTTATCCTACTCTTTCTCCTACTTCTTTCCCCAGGAGGATCATAGTTTATTAATCAAACACCCACCACAGGCTGCACCCAGTGCTACAGTCCCTGGAGGTCCCTGGAGTGTTTGTTATGCTTGCGTGCTGTATGGAGGTTGTATCCTGTCTGGGTGATAAGATGAATTCATTAAAACAATAGCCAAGAAAAATACCACATGAGTTCCAGGTGCTGTGCTTTAATTATTGAGAGGAAGAACATGTGAGGCTGGAATACTCAGGGCAGCTGGTTGAAGGATGAGAGCTGCAAGGTCAGACCATGAAGTTCATAAACTCATCCTAGAGAAAGTGAGACATGTCGCTGAATGTCACTATGGTCACCTTAGAGGTACTTCCCTTGTGAAGCTATGCACTGAAGCCAGTGCCTAGTCCACCCTTCGGTGCAATTTTGGAACTCTTTTTCTGGAATGGCCATCAGAGCTGTCATTGTCCAGTTCATGGACTCATCCTAGAAAATGTGCTACGTACCTCATTGCTGAATATCACTATGGTCACCAGATGGCCAAGGGAAGTACTTCAGGGTAATCATGGTGATATTCAGCAATGAGATACGTAACACTTTTTCTAGGATGAGTTCACAAACTTCATTGTCAGACCTTTGTTAATCTTTGAAAGATGAGTAACATTTAGAGGCTGAAGGCATCTGAGAAAGAGACTTGAAAAGAAATGGGTAAACATATGAGATGGAAATAAATCCACTGTGATTATAGAATGGCTGGGATTATCTCTTTTGACCAACCATCCAGATGTTGCAGGTTGGAATAATACCAGAGAACTATCTAATCTCCAGGCAGAACTTCTCTATTGAAGTTATGTCCTTGATCAACTTCCTAGCCCAAACAAGTGCACAGCTGGGTGCAGAAAAGAAATATTACCAGAAAATGAGGACAGTCTTATCAGGTTCATAGACTCTTTGGGGGAAATCATTTCCTAGATGGTGCTCTGCAGTTTTTCTATCTGCTCTAGGATAAATAGGGCATCTACACACCTGCATCATCTAAACTGGTGGGTACTTATGGGAAAATTATTGCATTTTAAAAGAATATACATCTAATGTGATTTTTCCTCTTAAAAAATAAAACAGGTACACAGTCAAGGAGGTGATTAGAAAAGGTACAGTGGTTGCAAAACTCTTGTGTCACGACCTTGATGAACCTCCTGATATGATCCGTTATGCTCCTAGCTCAGGCCCAGTTGGTTCTGGGCAGCTCTTTGAGCAAGTGCCAAACGCTAACAATTTCATACAGGTGAGCACCAGTTGCTATAACTATAGGGAGATGGAGTCATTTCATGGCCACAGTTGGGATAGTGCTGGTAAATTCAGCAAGAGGAACTGTGACACAGTAGAGAGAAATTTTGGATTCCTCTGCTGTCTTGCTGCTTCTCTATTATCTAGCTGTTTGCCACCAGTTTTTCTTTCTTTTTTTAAAATAATAAATGCAAAATCATTTGTTTCCTATTTAGCTGGGGAAATGAACCAGGGGCTAAAAAGTGTGCTGCTTTCCTTAGAGATAAGTCTGTGTGACAATGGCTCCTGCTCCTGCTATTGAGAGTAGTTGATCAGCTCCCCCTCTGTCCAATCTCTTGACATTCCAAACTTTCCATTGGCAAAGAATTGGCAAAAGAAGTTTTTTTTTTCCTTCCCAAGATGGGATTCTGCCTTGGAAGAAAACTTTCCTTCTATCTCTAACTTCTATAGGTCTTTTTTTTTTTTTTTTTTTTTTTGAGACGGAGCCTCAAGCTGTCCCCCTGGGTAGAGTGCCATGGCATTACAGCTCACAGCAACCTCCAACTCCTGGGCTCAAGCGAGTCTCCCGCCTCCGCCTCCCAAATAGCTGGGACCACAGGCGCCCGCCACAACGCCAGGCTATTTTTTGGTTGCAGCCGTCATTGTTGTTTGGTGGGTCCGGGCTGGGGATTCGAACCCGCCACCTTAGGTGTACGTGGCTGGCGCCTTAGCCGGTTGAGCCACAGGCGCCGAGCCACTTCTATAGGTCTTTATTCAAAGTGCCAATCATGGTTCAGGTAGGCATCATTGTTCCTTAACCCAAATATTACCAAGCACCCTGTCCCTACTTAGCCAGAAGATCTGTTGAGACCATAGTGATTTTTCTTCTTCTCTGGTCCTAACTCTAGATTTTCTTGACAAATTCCACAAACTACAAGCTGATCTTTTGCATATGTTGTGAATTTTAGAAACTTGGGCACTGAGCCAAGAGGTTTGCTAGGTTAATGTTCATTTTGAAATGCAATGCCAAACTGTCACTTTTTAAAAATGGAGCGTGAATGAAAACGGAGGTTCTGTAAACATGATGCTAACTAAGATTTGGGCCTTCACATATGTTCACTCTAAATCTGAATAATTGGCACCACCCATCACCCACCTTTAACTAATTTCTGTATTTGTATAATTATCCTATAGGTATTAAATGCCATTTGTTCCTAAAAACTTTATTTTACTATCATAACTGACTTAGTTCTCTCTGCTAAGGGCTCATGAATATGTTGTACATCCCCTACCAAAACACTTATCAGACTCTTCTGTGACTGCCCATTTAAATGTTGGTCTTATTAGACTGTAAGCTTTATGCATTTTCTAAGTGGTTCAATACCAGGTACATTGAGTTATAGTAGGTACTTAATACACTTTAATAGATGGATGAATGAATTGGATGCTAAAATCTAAAGAATCCAGTTGTTCCGAACACCTAGGTAGTTGACATCTTGTTGATCCATTCCCATTTGTGCCAACTGAGATTCTTGTCAATGCTATTAAATTAAGACTTTCTTTGAGTCTGATATGAGTCCAACTTGTTTATTATTATAACTCTGGTACCTACAATTGTACCTGGCACCTAATTAATACTCAAGGGATATTTTCAAAATGGTGAGTGATATAATAACAGGAATAACTTAGATTTTAATAGGCTTTATCATTTATGAAGTATGTTTAAGATAGTTTCTCTTTCTAAATTAATTTTTCCCAAGGTCACAGAGTTAGCATGTGGCAAAGACAGGTTATACCTCATAGGTTTCTTCCACTATGCTAGGATGCTTTGTTCAAAAGTAAACTATTCTGAAAGTGAACCCAAGATTTCCCTTTGTTCCACCAAGGTGCTTACTTTTTGTGTGTGTCAGTCTATGCGAATCTCAGGCATAATCTGATGCCATCCTATGCAATGAAAATGGCTATCCACTTGCCTTTTCTGGAATGATTTATTACTTAAAACATGTACATTTTAAAAAATTGGTCTGATTTTTGAAATAATGTTGTTCTGTAGGTTGCCAGAGAGTTGGATTATGAGGATCCAGAGATGGTTGCAGCTGGGCATATCTATGAAATGATGATTTCAGTATTTGATGACCTACATCCTTCCCATACAGGTAAGTTTTATTTTTTTAAGACAGGATCTTACTCTGTTGCCCTAAGTAGAGTGCTGTGGCATCACAGCTCACAGCAATCTCAAACACTTTGGCTTGCACAATCCTCCTGCCTCAGATTCTCAAGTAGCTAGGATTGCAGGTGCCCATCATGACACCTGGCTAGTTTTAGTAGAGACCAGGTCTCACTTTTGCTCAGGTTTTCTCGAACTCCTGAGTTCAAGCAATGCAAATACCTTGGTCTCCCAGAGTACTAGGATTACAGGCATGAGCCACCGCACCTGCCCTGTTTAGTTTCTTTATAACTATCCCACCATTTGGGGCAGTGGTTCTCAACCTTCCTAATGCCGACCCTTTAATACAGTTCCTCATGTTGTGGTGACCCCTAACCATAAAGTTATTTTCGTTGCTACTTCATAATAATAATTTTGCTACTGTTATGAATTGTAATGTAAATGTCTGATATGCAGGATGTATTTTCATTGTTACAAAGGGGTTGCAACCCACAGGTTGAGAATCGCTGATTTGGGGTCAGCCTGTGGTAAAACAATCCTTTGGTATAGTGAGATTAAGTTGATGCAGATTGCATAATCATAAAACTCTTGGCACTTGTGGATTTAACACTCATATTTTTGCTAATTGCAAACCATTCTGGTACATATTTGAATAGGGGGTTGTGGATCTATAGCAGAGTACTAAACAGGTGAGTGAAATTAGTCAACCACCTACTTCCTTTTGCTTATTTTTGTATGACATGAGAACACATCATAAGTGCCCCATTAGGGTCATTTACAAGTTCAACTAAATATTATCATTTTCAACAGTAAATTTATTGGCTATAAAGATGTTTGGGAATATAAGGATTCTGAAAATTTTCTGGATGCATCTGTCACTAACATTAAGCATCTTTTGTATCTGGAAAGTATTGTAATAAGTAATTCAGAAGATGATCGGCTTCAAATATATCCAAGAAGATGTGGGTGTTTGGGTTAGAAACACAGGTTTAACAGAATGTCAATGATTGGTAAAGAAGAGCCTAGAAAGGGGGTGGCATTTGGGTTTCTTTTCTTGTGGGAACTGTGAATCAGGGGTGGTGGTCTCCTAGGTAACTAGGATGAAAAGGACTCTGAGGTTGCAATTGGGAGAAATGGGAAAGAGCTCTTTATCTGTCATGGATGTAAACAGGAGGAATGATGGTGGGCATCTAGACGTTTGCAACTAAAGGGAATATGCTGAATTGTAATCAACACATCTAGGGCTCATTACATCTCTCTTAACTCACATATAAGAGTTTTAAAGAGTCTACAATGGTGATTTGTAGACTTAGAGGACACAACTGTGCAAAGAGATGACGTGCAGGGCCAGGGATTAGGGATTTAAGCATGATAGTATGCCGTTGTGTTTTCTCTGGTCCTCACTGGGAGAGTCTCCTGAAAAACCTATTATGTCGCCCAGCTCAACTTTTGGGATGGATACTTTTTTTTGCAGCTACTCATCCTTGTGCCCTAACTAATGCAATCAAAAAGATCTTCCTCTACCACCAGATTTGAGGCTTTCCACAATATGGAAGGGAAAACAAATCTCTCATAGTAATGAATGCACATTCTCTCTACTCCTCCCACCCAACACATTCACAGTATCTGAATAAAGGAGGATTGTTACACCCCACAAGCAGTTCAGTATATTTTTATAGGCCAGCTAATTAGCACAGTCTTGAGTCTTTGTGGATGCAATAAAAATCATAGTATGACGGAGCTGTAAACAACACCTGCTCTTGTGGCACATAAATGGGATTTATTGAACGAAACATAGAGGCTTTAACATAAATCACCTGTCTTTGTAGAATAGCATTTCTTCACCTTTCTTGAGGGTCATGAACACCTTCAAGATTCTGATGAAAGCTGTGTAGACTCTGTTCCTTGGAGAATGCACACAATAACATATACCGAAATATAATATTCCCTGAAGTGAAGGCCCTATGAATCCCAGATTAAATTTTCTTGCTTGACACATGTGGCATAGATTTTCAGGACAGGCAATATAGAAGCCTTCTTCAGAACATGAGTCTGCAAAATAATCTACTAAAGAATTCTGTTATCAAATGAGAGTGGGGAGCAATGTACACCTGGAGACTCAAAATGCACAGTGACATATCAAGAACACTAGTAAGTATTGCCATAAAGAAGCCTTTTTATCTTTGTTTAACTTAGGATTTTATATGTGACATGTTAACATCTCAGAGAAGATATTTTGGGAGATGTTGGCAGACATGACTTAGCTTTGCAACCTTTGGCCAAGAACTTAACCCTGTGAACCTCAGTTTTCTTGCTTGTGAAATTGGGAAAATAACACCAATGTCAAGTCAGTGCCTTTCACATAAAATGTTAATTATTATTTTACTTTCACTAAAAGAAAGTAATATTTTCAAGTAATATTTGCAAATATTTGCAAGTTACTTGCTTTTATGGTGGGACATTAAATTCTTTCTTTTCGGTAACTCTCTTTACAGAGTTAATTTGAGCTTATTGGTCTGAAATACAGACCTTTTCCATAACACAATATACAAACATCTGGCTGTGGCAAATAATATATAATAATTGCTTTTTGGTTAACCTTTTATAGTTTGAAAATACCTTCTTGGGTATGATCTTATTTTGTCTTTAAATCCTCATTGTGATGGAGGAAATTGAAACTGATGTTATTCCTTTTTTTTTTTTTTCATAAGAAAACTGGGCCTCTGAGAAATGAACCTAATCAAGGCCTTGGAGTACAGTTCACCTTTGAACAATTTGGATTTGAACTGTAAGGGTCATTTATATGTAGGTTCCCCCCCCCCCAAACCAAAGGGATTCAAAGGATTCACAAGATGCAAAGTCCATATATCAGGCGGGCTGACTTTCTGTGTCTGTGGGTTCTGCAGGGCTGACAGGGGCCTTAAGTGTGTGTGGATTTTGGTATAGCTAGAGTACTGAAACAAATTTCACTCACATACCTAGGGATGACTCTGTATGTTTGCCTGTAGTCCGAGCTACGTGGGAGGCTGAGGCAAGAGAATCTCTTAAGCCCTACAGTTGGAGGTTGCTGTGAGCTGTGACGTCATGGCACTCTACGAGGGCGACACAGTGATACTCTGACTTAAAAAATAAATAAAATAAATAAATAAGGCTAAGCCTTGAACATGGGATTTCTGAGTCTCTTTCCATTCCTTTTCCTATGATATTTAGTAATAGTAGACTATGCCATATTCTGGGTTGATAGTGACACACCAACAAACTCTCTAATGTGGGAGATTGTACCCATGCAAACATAAATAAACTTTCTTATGTGAAATACATAATTATACACTTATAAATGACATATAGATATATAGATATCTGTGTTGTACAAAATAAAATATGACATTCATACATTACATATTTTTGGCTAAATTGCTTTGGCTAGCACCAGGACTCATTTGGTTTCCTTGAGAACACTCATTTGGTTTCCTTGTTGTTGTAGTTTTATCCTTTAAATGAACTAACTATACCCCTAGGAACAGGCTTAGCAAAGGATTTTGAAACTATGACAGGATTCTCTCTGCTCCTGAGCGATCTCTATTCCCAGACTTTGTGTTCCTTGGACTCTGTTTTCCTTTATTTATTAATTTTATTTCTAATATAATTTATGTAACTAAATTTATATTACTATTATTTTTAATAATGACTGTTACTAATAATCAGGTCATAAAATGCCTGAAAATTTAACCATCGGCTCTTGAAAACTAGTATGATTCAAGAGAACACAGTGTCTGGGAATAGAGATCACTCAGGAGCAGAGAGAATCCTGTCATAGTTTCAAAATCCTTTGCTAAGCCTGTTCCTAGAGGTTTATTTAGTTCATTTGAAGGATAAAACTACAACAACGCAACATTTATTCACTGCTCAATTTTACAGTAACTGTGACGATCATTGTGGAGCTTGCTTCTGCCAATGATTTCAGCCCTGAATTTGAAGCTGCACACTACTCCTTCTCCGTTCTAGAAACATCAGGAGGTAAGAGATTCCTCACAGCTATGGTGTTAAAACTCACACAAGGAGACACCTCCAGATTTCAAATGAGTGGCCAATGGAAAAAAGCATGGAAGTTTACAAAATACAAGTCAACGGGGGAGCATTTGGGTGCTCCCAACACTCAGAGAACAAGCTAGTTTTCATTGGTAATTCCTTCCATCTATCGTCTTGATGGTTCTCCAAGGCTCCCTTGAAATTTGATGTCAGCTCTAGGACCTTTGTAATGGAAAAATACACAGCATTACCTCTATTCCATTTCTTTTCCACCTTGATTCTAAACTAGATCTAAGTATAAAGAAGGTAGAAATGACATGCTCATTGCCCATGTCATTTAATCTTGTGAACATCTAGGGTCAAGATTTTGGGTATATGGTCAAGAGCTTGGTCAGGATCCTATCTCAACCATGAATTACATATGGAGTAGGGCCTATTTATTACATCAAGCAACACCAGATTTGAGAGGGATAGTGAAAGTACAGATCTTCTGTATCCAAAGGGGGGATACATCCCTCTCTCAGCATATCCTTCAGGCTTGCCTTGAATACTTCAAGGGACACACAGAACCAGTTGGGTGCTGGAGTTGAATCATACTAGTTTTCAAGAGCCGATTGTTAAATTTTCAGACATTTTATGACATGATTATCAGTAACAGTCATTATTAAAAAGTATAGTAATATAAATTTAGTTACATAAATTATATTAGAAGTAAAATTAACAAATAAACTCAGCAGTTCTTAATTGTGCTATCACATTTTACTGATATCTATGCCTTTGAGGTTATTTACATCTATGGGATCTGCATGGTAAAATTTTGTATAGAGAATGATGTGCTATTGCATTTCTCTTCCCAACTTTCTGGTGATAGTTTAAAATCAGAAATGGTGGGAGTACTTACACCATGGAAATCAGCAAACACTGTGTCAGGGATTGACTCACTTGTTTTAAAAAAGTTATCTTGACCTAAGAAAATGGTAGAGAAAATGTTAATAATGCAATTAAAGTCTGTTTTATCAGAGCTTATTTTTGTAAGTAGCACAAAAATTGTGGAAATCGTCTTCTAGCCATCAAAAAATATTGTCCAAGTCCGCAAAGGGTTCATTCCTATTGTCAATGAGCTAGTGAAGTTCCAGCATGTTTTTATTTGCACCTTCCTCTTTAAAGGAAAACATCAATTAACATTCATATTGGCAATACTTATTTGGCAATTGTTATCATGGTGTGAGGAGGGGTAGAACAGTATGGCAAAAATCAGTAAAATCATTCTGCAAGATTGATGTGGTTTATATTGTCCATATAGAAATTTATAATAAAGAACATTATATATTCATTACTGTTTGTAAATTTTATGCTACATATATCTTTTTTTTCATTTTCTTAGTTATTGTGTTAAAACGTTCATATTCTACTCATAGAAAGATTCACTTGTATCCTTGTAAGATAAACCACAGAAGTGAACCCTCGAATCCTCCTCCCTCTACCTATTCCCCCCTCCCTCCCCCCTCCCTGTATCCTTAGGTTGTTATTAGGTTATAGCTTTCATATAAAAGGTTTAAATTAATTTCATAATAGGGGTGTGTACATTGGATACTTTTTCTTCCATTCCTGTGATACTTTGCTAAGAAGAACAGTTTCCAGCTCCATCCATGTGAACATGAAGGAAGTAAATTCTCCATCTTTCTTTATGGCTGCATAGTATTCCATGGTGTATATATACCACCATCAGTAAAATTTATTACAAACTTGTGCATTATGTGGGTATGTATGTACCCACACGATACACACTCCCCACTTTTTCCAGAGAATTGATTGTTAAATATTTGCAGCATTTTATGGGCAGTACTCACACTACTTCAAACTAGCTTATTTCCTTGGCAGACAACTACAATTGAGGAGAGACTAGGAAATCAAAAATCCATGTATTTGGATTCTGATTCTTGGTTTGCCTCACCATGCAGTTTTGGACAAGTTCTTAACCTCTCTGTAAAATAAATACACAACTATTTATATTCTGAGTCTGGAATATAACACCATTGGGTCTTATGATATATGACCAGAAAATTTGAGAAAAGTTGCCTATAAATTAAATTTATCATAAGCAGGATTCTTGTTCTCTTTTACTCATCTTGGGTTTTTGTTTTTGTTATCATTTTAGAAGTACTCAGTAGTTTTGGGGTAATCTTTTTTTTTTTTT